ATGCGCGCGAGCAATCACTGGCCCCAGTATGACCTTGGCCAACTTCCCTCCATGGGCCGAGCCCGCCACCACCGACCGCTCGGGCTGCAGACGGCGCCCGAGCCAGGCGCGCTGGCGCAGGTGGCGGGGTCCTGCATGCAACTGCGCCTCCATCGCGGCCACGATCGCGGGGAACCCCTGCTGGGTGGCCGCCGCGAGCAGGCGCACGAAGGAGACCGAGTCGTAGAACTTCTTGATGTCGAGGAGGAGGGTCGCGGTGGACCACCCGTTTTTCCACGTCGCACTCGTCCATGCAAGCACGGCGCACCGCGGCCCGCAGGGCGGAAGATCCGCGCACCGCGGTATCCCACCACTCGGCCTGGGCGTCGCTCCACTCGTCAGTGGAAGCAGCTCGAACCTTCGCCCAAAACTCTCAGGTGGTCGGCAGCATGCCGATGATGCGATCCCCTCCATCACGCTTGGGAATGGCGGCTCCAATGACCGCCGACAGTTGCCACGGCCAAACCCCCGCGGCCTCGCACTCATTGAGGAGCGAAGCGAGACCGTCGAATCCGTCCTCGGGCATCCGCTGTAGGTCAGCGGGGCCCACGTTGTCGATGCCGCACGCCCTGCCCGAACTCATGCTGCGCATGGCCGCGCGCACCTGGTCGGGAGTGATCGGATCCAGGCATTCATCAGCAACACGTCGGAGAGTGGCGTTGAAGGCCTCGACAAGGTCGGCCTCGTTGTACGTCGGGTCCTTCCACGCCCTCTCCCAGGACAGGGTCTTCTGCTCCAGGATAGTGTCGGGCTGGGCGGTGGACCTCGCCGCAGTGTCCCCCTCGGCGTCCCTGGCGAGGCCGTAGGTCTCCAGCTGCTCGGAGGCCGTAGGTCTCCAGCTGCTCGGCCGCGGGCTCCTTGACGTGTCGATGGACGATGCCTGGCCTCCGCTGCCACGCCTCGTTGGCCCAGCGGACGTGCCCGAGGCGGGCGCGGTGGAGGCTGCGGCCGAGGAGGCGGTGGCACCATTGCTCAGTGCAAGCGAGCAGTCTACGTACGTCGTCCAAGCATGGCATTTCTTGCTGCAAGAAGATATCAGCACGAAGGCGCCAATCTTGCGCATCTTCCTGCAGGGACTGGCCGAAGTATACATGATGATCGTTCTTCCCCACGCGTGCTCGTGGCAAGGGGGTGGCCCGCGCAACGCACTCGCGCTGCTGCGGACGGTCGGACCCGTTGGTCAGCAGCGCGACGAAGCGGACCAACAAGGTGCTCAGCGTCTGCCAACCCTCCAGCACTGGGTCGAGCAGGTGGGCGCGGCCAGGGGTGCTCTTCATCCTCCGCTCCTCGATCCGATAACCTTGACCACGCCCGCGCATGGTGTCCGCACTGCGACCGACCACCTGCTCCGTCTGGATCAGCGCCTCCTCGAGGGTGCCGACCCACTGCGCGTGCATCTGCGAGGCGTGGTCGGTGGAGAGCGGCACTCGCGCGAACAGGAAGTGGCCCTGGTCGGCGGGCCGCTGGCTGCTGGGCTTCCGAGCCTGCACGGCAGCAGGGCGCCTGGACCAGGTCTCGGCACTCACCAGGTACCCAATGTCAGCTGGCGCGCCGCCATCTCGATCGGGGGGCTCTGTGTCGGGCGGCGCCGCTGACTTCGCAGCCGTCGCTGGGCTGCTGCAAGGGACTAGGTCGTGCACAGGAGGCTCCGCAAAGCCTTCGTCGTACTCGTCAGCCAGCGCGTCCATGGGGTCCTCGCCGTAGTCCATGGACGTGCGCCGTGCTGCCGCAGGGGCGGTTGCTGCGGAGAGCGCGTCCCCGCAGCGCTGGGCAGCGCTCCAGGTGCCGCCTCCAGCGCTCCGCCACCTCCCAGTCCACGGGGCCGTGTAGTCAGGCAGCGGGTGCAGGGCATGCCCGAGGTCGTCCGCAGCAATCGGCCCGCCAATCCCGTCGGCCTCCCCGAGGAGCGCGTCGTGGGGCCCCCGCAGCTCCTCTGGCAACGCCTCGCGGCGCTTGCAAGCCTGCGCTGCGAGCTTGCGCTGCCTGCGGCTGCTGGGGTCCGCGGCGACCTTCGGCGGGCTGCGGAGAGGCAGGGCCGAGGGCGGCACCGGCGCCTGGTGGTGCCAGCGGCGGTTGCTGGCCGTGAGCTCGATGATGAGCCCGCAGTGCGTGCGCCACGGCACGTTGGGCTCAGCCGCCGCCTTGACATGCTCGGCGTACCCTGACGAAGCAAGCACGTAGTCGTACAGCTTGCCCTTGCCCGTGTCGCAGGTCGTGCGAACGTTCTCTGGCGCGGCGACGGCGGCCCCGATCCGCTGCAGCCACTCCGTCTCGCCCCAGTCGGTCGAGTCGCCGACGATCACGAATGGGGTCCTTCACGAGTGAGATGAAGGCCGCCAAGGAGGCGAGCCGTTGCTGGTTGGCTCCGCGAAACCGAAGCCCAGGCACCAAGTATGCTACCACGATGATCACGTTGCCTTGCAGCAAGTGCCAGACCATCGGAACGAGACCGAAGAAGGGGGGAGGCCGACCAGCCGCAGAGCACGCGCGTCGGTGCCCCTCAAACGTGGTGGCGGCCAACGTCTTCTTGATCGCAATCATTTCGCCGCCTGCGACGCCGTCCAGGGACCGACCTGAAGGGATGCCAGGCGTGACTGCGACCTTCCAGTTGCCTTTCTGGATGTCGATCTGCTGCTGCTCGGCGGCAGCAGGTGACGCATGGGTCTCGCAGAAACCGACGACGTCAAAGCCAGCTCCGTACCCCTCCAGGAACCTGCGGGAGGTCGAGCCGTACTGGGTGATATTCCCGAAGAACATCCTTGCCTTAGTATGGGCTGGCCCCGTTCCTGACGTCGCGCCGTAGCCGCTCTGCAGCCGCCGCCTTGCCACGAAGCCGCACCGCGGTGTCAGCGCATCCTCCCGCAGGTGCAACTCCCATGGCGACGTCCGCTGGCGAGCCCCCAGGCTCCCCTCCGTCGGCGGCAGCGGGGGGCTGGCCTCCAGGAGAGACGGCAGGAGGAGTGCCAGGAGCAGCCACAGCAGCCTGCACGGGAGGCGCGGCGGGCAGCGCGGCGGTGAACTTCTGCAGCGCCTCCTTGGTCTGCTGCGCCACTGCGAGCCCCGAGTCAGGCGGCTTGTTGCCCGCCGCCAGCTGTGCCAGCCGGTCCTCGTAGGTGGCCACGAGCTGGTTGACGAGGCCCGCCAACTTCCCGAGGTCGTCCCACGTCGACGCTGGGACGGGAGGTCCCCCTGGGTCCCCGCCCGCGGTGTCCGAGGCTGCGTCCTGCTTCGCCTGCTCCAGGTCGCCCCGAGCCGCGACCAGCTGCGCCTCGGCCTCCTCGAGCTCGTCCGCCGCTTCTTGAGCAGCTTGCTGAGCCCGTTCGAGGCGCTGGGTCGCCTGGAGGACCACGCGCTGGGCCTTGACCACGGGCTGCGGCAGGTCCTTGCCGCGGGGGTCCTCCATGCCACCGGCGCGCAGGCGGCGCCGATACACGTTCCTGTCGCGCAGGGACTGGCCGAGGACGGACGCGAGCTGCGAAAACTTTTCGTCCTCCATGGCGACCCAGCACTCCACCTGCTGGTCATCGAGCACGGCGGCAGCCGGTGGGGCGGCAGGCTGGCGGCCTCCGCCTGGAGCGCGCGGCTGCGGCGGGCCATCGCGCCAGGGCGGCGCAGCGGCCTTGCCAGGGCCCCAGGCCCATGCCCCGCGCGGGGCGCCGCGGCGCGCAGGCCCTGGGCCTCCGCTGACACCAGGGTGCCCAGGATTGGGGGCGCTGCAGTGGTAGCACTTCGCCTTGGCCCCACGGTTCCAAGCACAGCAGGAGGGGCCCCCCCAGCCCGCCATAGTGCCGTCGTGTCGGTGATGGGCCGCCAGAGAGCCCCTGCAGTACTGGCTAAAGACAGTCGGGCTCCAAGAGCCCTAGCTCTGCCGCGGAATAGCGGTATCCGTGTCTGCCAATGCGTGCTCGGCCCGCCAAGCATCAGCCTTGAGCCAAAATGGCTACGGAGGAGGAGGAGGAGGAGGAGGAGGAGGAGGAGGAGGAGGAGGAGGAGGAGGAGGGGCTCGCCAGCACGCGCCCCAGCCAGGCGCAAACCGCCCGAGCGGGCCGCTCGCGAGCGGTCTCGGTCCCGCGGGCGCCGTCCGCGAGAGCAGCGCGCCCCGGGTGCTCTCTCTGGGGGCTGGCACCGGTGCTCTCGCCTCCGAGCTGGCCTCCTCCTCCCTCCTCCTCCTCCTCCTCCTCCTCCTCCTCCTCCCCTCCTCCCCTCGGGGGGAGGGGTGCCGAGCTCGCCCCCCCTGAAGGCGCACAGTGCCTTTTGAAGGCGCTCTTCACTAAAGGAGGCAAGCACTCCACCGAGGGCAGGCGCATCTCATGGAATGCGCTTTCCTGTTCGAGGGGCCCTCTCCCGCCTTCAGCAATCTGTGCCTCCTGCCTTCCGCCCCCTGGAATCCCCGCTGCTCCTCCCTGCCCTCCTCCGCCTCTCCCTGCCCCTCCCCCGCCCTCTCCCGCCACCTGACGCCCACTTGCTGCTCGCCGCTCCGCCCTCACTGCCCACTCCTCCTCTCCTATCCCGCCGCCGCCCGAGCGCGCTACACTATTCGCAAAGTAGCTAGCGAATCCGCCGCGGGGGATCTACGAAGCATCACCCAGAGGAACACCTATTTTTGTCGGACGTTTGCGAGTAGGCATTTTGCGAGCATTGGAACGCGCTCGGTGACAAGCCGCCCCGCCCTTCCAGAGGAGGCGTGGCCTCGCCGGAAGCCGGGCCCGACACCTCTCGAAGGCCCCCGCGGACTTCCTGGATCGGCGCCGCACCCTTCCTCTTCCCTGGTGACCGGGGGGCTCCGACGAAGGGCGGGCGGCACCGGAGGCGCCGCCGAGGGGCATGCCCCGGCGCCGACCCGAGAACTCCGCGCGCAGCCGCGGACGTGGACGTTCATATAATACCCGCGCAGAGCTTTCCTCCTTGGGCCTCTCCTCCCCCCTCCTGGCCTGGCCCCCTCCTGCCTGCCGCGGGCCGTCCTCCTGTGTCGGCACGGCCTCCCGCCGCTGCCGACCGCGGCGCGGCCGCCGTCGAGGTCGGGGGCTCCGCTGCCCGTGCGCGGAGGAGGGCTGCCTCATGGCGAAGGGCCCGGGCGGGCTCCCTGCACGCCTGGGGGTGGAGGCACGCTGCCCACGGCATGCTCGCCTCCTCCTCCTCCTCCTCCTCCTCCTCCTCCTTCTTTTCCTCCTCCTCCTCCTCCTCGTCCTCCTCCTCCTCCGCCTCCTTCTCGTCCTCCTCCTCCTCCTCGTCCTCCTCCTCCTCCTCCTCCTCCTCTTCCTTCTCCTCCTCCTCCTCCTCCTCCTCGTCCTCCCGGGGAGGGCCTCGGCACGCCCAGGGCGCCCCCCCCACGCCCCCCCACGGTGGAACGTCCTTGGCCGCATTCGGCCTCTGGGGGCCCTGGCCTGGGGCTGGGACCGCCAGGCAACGACCGAGGGCGAGAAGCTGGCCCTGGGGCAGCGGGCGGGACCTCCAGAGCCCCAGCATTGAGCAGAAATCGAGGCATCGGATGTCTGGTGTTGTGCGTCGTCGTTGACCAAGAAAAAAAGCCGGGACGCGTAAACATACACGCTCGGAGGTCCGTGCGGCGTTCCTGGATCGGCGCTGGGCCCCCCTCTCCCTGATCCGCGATGCGCGTCAAGGGCGCCGCGGAAGGCGCCGCTGGGGGGGGTCCCAACGCCGATGCGACAAATCCGCGTGCACCTGCGAAAGTCTACGAGTATGTATTTCCCAAACGGTGCTTGCACTTAGGAGGAGTTCTTCCTCGAGTTACTAGGACTTGGATGGCGGTGTTGGGGTTTCGGCTGGTGCCGCCTCGTTGCCGCCTCGTGCGCTGGATGGTGTCAGAATTTCGGCTGGTGCCCGCTTGGTGACGCCTCGTTGTCGCCTCGTGCGCTGGGTGGGCGTGTCGGGGTTTTCGGCAGGTGCCCGGTGGGTGCCGCCTCGTTGCCGCCCGCGTCGCTTTGTTGCCGCCTCGCTACGTGGCTTGCACCGAATCGCCTACGCCACATAGCTCGCACCACGTAGATTGCACCACAGAACTTGCAGTCGGACTTGATTGGACAGGGCACGCGAGAGGACACAAGACCCTTCCGAGGGCCACATTGCCATAGGAATGTAAGAGGCATGGGTCTCGAGGCAGAGGACACAAGGGTGCCCTTGACTTGGCAGGGTCGACCTCCTACTCAGGGCCGACTGTGCACCACATAGCTTGTACCACATAGCCTGCACCAGATAGCTTACACATCTGCAGTGCAGTATCTGAATGTTTGGGGTCCACGCTGGCCAACATTGTTCTTTCCATATCCGACTGCCGTCGTCGTCGCTGTGGACGTGTTCTGTGGCTGCCGCCGCCATCGTCGTCGTCGTCGATCCCGGCAACTACTCTTGATCTCCCACCCGTGCTCATTCGAACGGGAACGGGGCGGCGGCCAGCTCAGGGGGAGGGGGAACCTCGGCTCGGACTCGGCGATGCGTCTCCGATCGATCGGTGATGCACACCGAGCGTTTCTTGGCGGGGTGGGCTATCAGGTTCATGTCGGCGATGAGTGGACGATTGGAGGAGGAGGAGGAGGAGGAGGAGGAGGAGGAGGAGGAGGAGGAGGGGGAGGAGGAGGAGGAGGAGGAGGAGGAGGAGGAGGGGGAGGAGGAGACCTTTGCTCACCGCTCGTCCCAGCAGGGCCGCAGGTTGTGGCTTCTCCAGCGCCCGGGCCGCGCCGCCTGGCCGAGGGTGACCCCTGCGCGCCAGAGCTGCGCCCTGGGCTCCCCTCGGCTGCGGCAGCGGCGGCCCCCGTGCGGGGGGCCCGCTCCCACGAGGCATCGTCGCCGACCAGTCGACGGGGGAGCGCGATTAGTCCGCCGACACGGTCGGCGTGTGTGAGACGCTGTCGTCGTCGTCGTCGTCGTCGTCGTCGTCGTCGTCGTCGTCGTCGTCGTCGAAGTCGTCGAAGTCGTCTTCGTCGTGGGCGTCGTCGTCGTCGTCGTCGTCGTCGCCGTCGTCGTCGTCCCAAGGAACTCTAAACACGAGCAAAGGAAAGACACGTCGTAGAAGAAACGTCGTAGTTAAATCGATCCCTCCCCTTTCCCCCTCCCTGGCGGGGGGGTATGGGGGGGAGTAGGGGGTGGGGGAAGGTGGGCGGGGAAGGGAGGGGGCAGGAGGGGGTTTGGGGGGGTCCCAGGTCAGCCGCCCCCCCTGGGGGCCCGGCGGCCCTCCCTCCCTCCCCCCGGGCGGTCCCCCCTGTGGCGAAAGAGGCCATGGGGTGGTCTCACCGTCGGCATGGGAACTCAGGGTCCCTCCCCCCGCCTCCTCGGCCCCGGCTCCGGCCCGTCCCCCCGGTCCTGGCCCCGGCCGGCCTGGGCCCCGGCCCCGGCGCTGGCCCCGGCCCGCTCCAGCCGGCCCCGGCATTGGGCCCCCCCGGCCCCCCTGGCCCCGGCCCCGTGGCCCCGTGGCCCCGGCCTCGCCCCCAGCTGCGGCCCTATAGCCCCAGCCGGGGCAGCAACCCCGGCCCCGGCCCTGGCCCTGGCCCAGGGGCCCCAGCCCCGTCGCCTCCCAGACTCCCGCCCCTGAGGAGACACATGGCTCTCCTCCTCCTCCTCCTCCGCCTCCTCCTCCCCTCCTCTCCTCCTCCTCCTCCTCCCTCCTCCTCCCTCCTCCTCCTCCTCCTCCTCCCCCTCCTCCTCCTCCTCTCCTCCTCCTCCGCCTCTTCCTCCTCCTCCTCCTCTTCTTCTTCCTCCTCCTCCTCCTTCTCCTCCCTCCACCGCCCGCCTCATGTCCCGAGCTTGTGGCAGGTTCATCAGCTCGACGTTGTAGTTGGCGTCGTGGTGGTGGTGGTGGTGATGGTCGTCGTCGTCGTCGTCGTCGTCGTCGTCGTCGTCGTCGTCGTCGTCGTCCTGTTGGGTCGGCGGCACTGGCCGTAAGGCCTCTACGATAAATTATACGGAAGTCTCTGGCGGGAGCATGAATAATGGATGCATTGCAAGGAGGTCTCGAGCGACAGCTCGATTTCTCAATCCCACCAGACCATTGGGCGACAGGTGCTCTAACGATGTCTTTATTCCCTCTTCCACAACCTCGTTTTCCCCTTCGGAGAAGGGCTGTTCCCTATTAGTGAACAGCCCCTCCCCCACTTGGCCGGCAGCCAGCCCGGAACCACGCGGGCACCCCCCCACCATCCCTGTCAAAAAAACGATACACAACATGTACATTGCGGGCCCACCCTGCCAACACCCTCCAGAATCCCTTTCAAAAAACAATACGAAGTGCACATCGCAGCAAAATCTGGATTATGCGCTGGCACCCTGTGAGCACTTTGTATTGTTTTTGTCAGGGATGGCGGGTCACCCTCACTGAAGTCGCTTGATGCAGGACTACCATCCGTGTCAAAAACACTGCAAAGTGCACGTTGCGAGAACGTCGCAAGTATTGTGCTGGCCTACCGCGATCAATTTGTATTGTTTTTTGTCAGGGACGGCGGTGGTGCCCGCATGATGATGCTTCCTGTGCGCAGGCCCAGAACAATGCTGACGCCCCTCACATCAGCATGTGGACCCTGCGGACGGGGGGATATCTGCCATACATATATATATATATGTATATATAAGTAAATGAATATATATACACATATGTTTAGTATAATGCTTTTTGTTTGTGTGTACATATACATATATGTATACCTTTATGAATGTTATATTATGTTATATTGTAGCACATGGGTATTATATTAAATTATATGGTGTTATTTTACATTGTATCATATCGTATCACATCATATTATGATATATTATAGTATTTTATATTACGTTTCATTGTAGTTCATCATATTCGTTGTAATTCATCATATTATATAATAAACAAATCGTATCATATTATATTCCATCATAATAAATTATATCATGTTATATTATATGGTATTGAACTACATCATATTATATCGTCTTATGTCATAATCCATTACATCATATTTTCGCATACCATATCATAGTATGATATAATATATTCTATCATATTATAGTGTATGGTTTTATTTTGTATTATACCGTATCATATTATATGGTGTTATATTATGTTACACTACATTACATTATATTATATTATATTATATTATATTATATTATATTAAATCATAATGTATACATCTATACACATATACGTAGGTAATATGTTATATTATATTGCGATGCGCGGCATCATATTATATACTATTATATCATGCTATATTTATATTATTATTATTATTATCATTATATTTCATGTTATATCATATCATATCATATACGATGATATTATATAATGCCATATTATATTATACTATATGGTATTACCATATATTAAAATATAATATATGCTATTCGATTATATGGCATTATATTACAACATACTATATGTTATGATACAAACGTATATGCTATTATATTATATATTATATACGAGGACGGCACGCCAACCGCATGTGGAGCCCGCAGCGAACGTCGCGCACATGGCGTCCGCTTTGGTTCCCAGTGGCTGTCCATCCAGTGGCGACCCTTGTTTATGCCGAGACTCGGATGCCACTTATGTGGCGGGCCGGCGGGTGGGAGTGAGCTAGGCGGCTAGGGTGTCTTGATCACTGTTCCCTATTCGCGGCGAACCCGATGCGGCTTCCCCACAGCATCCCTGTCAAACAACAATGCAGGGTACACTTGGCGGCGGCGGCGGCTGCGGCGGGGGCAGCGGCTGCGGCGTCTGCGGCGGCGGTGGCGGCGGTGGCGGCGGCGGCGGGGGCGGCGGCGGCGGCGGCGGCGGCGGTGGCGGCGGCGGCAGTGGCGGCGGCGGTGGCGGCAGCGGCTGCGGCGGCGGCGGCTGCGGCGGCGGCGATTCGGCAGCGGGGGCGGCGGCGGGGGCGGACAGCGGCGGCGGCGGCGGCGGCGGCGCGGCGGCGGCGGCGGCAGCGGCGGATTCGCCCCCAGTAGCTGCCCATCCAAAGACGACTGCTGAATATGCTGCGGCTCGGGCCAGGCTCGGGTGCTGCGTACGTGTTGGGAAGGCGGGTGGGAGTGAGCGAGACGGCTTGCGGGCGGGGATGGGGTCTTGACCCCTGCCCCT